ATTAATCAATAAAAACACATAAAAAGTACAAAACTTGGTCTCAATTATACCCGACAGTGAGCGGCGAGTCCGAAGTCAATCAGTTTGATCCTATGATTCTTGTCGAACAGAATATTCTCGGGTTTGAGGTCCCGGTGCGCGAACCCACTCGTGTGGATGTAATTGAGGACATCAGCCAAGTCTCGGAATATCACTTTTGTCTCCTCTTCGGTCAGACGCCTCTTCTGGACCAAGTAGTCAAAGAGTTCGCCATCAGAGCAGTACTGGTCGGACATACACATGGATAGGGAAGTCAGCGACTATTACAGTGGATAATACCGGGGTTACCGTACCTCTAGGACCAGATAGATGTTGTCTCGGTTCTCTACCACCTGCAGGAGTTGTGCGATATTCTTATGGTTAAGCACTTTGAGGGCATTGATCTCAATCTTAACGCGATGTATGTCCGACTAAGTCACGGGACAGTAAGTTAACACAATGCACGCCATCGACGGTTAGCCTTAAGACTTACCCCCAGTTTCTTTTTGTTCATCCTCTTGATGGCCACCTTCTGACTGGTCATGAGATGTGTGGCCAGAAATACTTTGCCAAAACCGCCTGTCCATCGGTGGTAAGGCATGAGATGATTGCGAGTCAAACATGTGCTAAGCAGTGGTGCATACCTTCACCCAGATGTGTGTTGTGGACGTAGTAGCCGTGGTGGACGTCCAGGTCCTCCTTGTCTCTGGTGGTGCCCATCGTGTGGTTGATGGCCGTCATCAGCGGCGAAGACATGGCCAGCAATGTGTCGTACGTGACAACAGGTATGTCAGTGGCGGTCAGGTGTAGGCGCTCTCATACAGCTGTAGCAGTAAGCTGCTGATCATATGAGTGCTACTAAGACTATTAATACCAGTGCTCGAGGGGACGGGTAGCTTAACAATAGTCTTGTGGTTGTAGTGGTGGACAGGCAGGCAGTCAGTCATATGATGAGACCTTTAATGCTTTGAAACTCGCATTCAAATGATGTGATCGACGAATGAGACGTTCAGTTGATATCGCATTGCAGTTATCATTAGAGATAAGAAATGCCAAAACTTTTCCCGCAATTGATAACAACTTTTACGTTAAGTTTTTGTTTAAATGTTTATTCACTTAATTCAACGCTTTTCTGGCTATTTGTGGCTAATTTTTACTAATTATTAGTGTTTTTAATTAACTTTTTTTTAGATTTTTACAACATTTAATTAGTTCATTATAATTAGAGTTAACTGTATATAAAATATATTTTAAAATTACAAACATATTTCACTATTAGGTACTGAAAAGTTTTATACACAAATTGTTTACACTTTCAATAGAGATACTAGTATTATTAATTAAACTAGATCAAATCTACATATTTTATGATATAATAAGATTACTTTTAATTTACTATAGGTTTAAGGTTGAAATAAAATAGTTATAAAATATAGCGAGAGTTGAGTGTATCTACTAAACAAATACACTGTAAATAAATTTTACAAAAGTATGAGTCATTGCACTCATAGCCCCCTCTCTATGCTATTCAATGGCACTGAATGAGGGAACCAAACACTACGCCATACGTCGTATATGAATGGGTCGTATATGCCGTTGAAATGCTTGTCTAACGGACACGTGTTTTGTCAGCAAATTGTAGACAAAATCACAATTCATTTCAAAGTCTTCACCACAAAGACATCG